CTCGATAACGTAAAATATGTTCGATCGTAGCTTTAAGTATTATTTCGTATCGTTAATTAAAAGATGAATGTACTTTTGTTTGTCTTTTTAGTTTTTCATAGAGGTTATTCGCCGTTTCTTCGTTTTGGGAACCAGGGCCGATACCCTGACACCCCGGGTCATTTGACCGACTGTATTCGCCATTCTTCGTTACTAGTGATCGAGGCACGATCCCTCGACACTAGCTCGCCGTTTCTTCGTTTTGGGAACCAGGGCCGTTACCCTGACGCCCCGGGTCACTTGACCGACCGTATTCGCCGTTGTTCGTTACTAGCGATCGAGGCACGATCCCTCGACACTAGCTCGTCAGTTCATCATTTTGGGAACCAGGGCCGTTACCCTGATACCCCGGGCCATTTGATCGACTTTCGTTGTTTGGGAACCAGGGTCGCTACCCTGACACCCCGGGCCACTTGATCGACTTTCATTGTTTGGGAACCAGGGTCGCTCCCCTGACACCCCGGGTCACTTGACCGACTTTGCCGTCATTCGCCGTTATCGTTCGGGGTGCGATCCCTCTACGTTGTCCCTCAGTTTAAATCGTTTTAAACCGTCAGAAGTTAGGAGTTGGTGATGATGAGCCTCACAGAATAAACCCTGGTGTTTCGAGTCTGGACAGAGTTCTGAGCCTTCTCCTACAAAATCAAAAACCATTGCGACCGTGTTTAGGTAAAGACCTCGCTTGACCCCTGGAAGTTCGGAAACCCGTGCAGGCTGACTTATTTTGGGCACCAATTGAGATATTCCGTACACTCCACCGAAAACACGGTCACAAGATTAAGGTATCTACAATATTAAAATGTTATGGGAAGAGAGGGAAACAGGTCCGCGACATAAGAAGAGGTGAAGGAAGTAGTAAGGTGAGCAGTGTGGAGTGTGGGAACTGGAAACCGTTTGTGGCAGTTAGAATAATGTATCTGCAATGCTGAAATGCTATGAGAAGGGATGGAAGCATGCCCACGACATAGAAAATGGTGAAAGAAGTAGTAAAGGCTAGCAGTGCGGAGTGTGGGGAATGTTTGCGGCAATTAGATTAACGTATCTAAAATACTAAAATGCTATGGAAAGTGATGAAAACAGGTCCACGATGTAGGAAGTGGCTTTTTTTTTAACAGAGGGCCAGGCTTACAAGTCACCATGGGATTGCATCGCAGCTAGAACAGCTTATTGTGCACCCTCGTTCACAGGTCCTCATTCTCCGTCAAATCGCAGGTCCTGGGTGAACCGTGAGAGCCTTTTGACTATGGTAACCTGTTCTTCCCTCTGATCTCCCATCAATAGGCCAAGGGATATCATACGCAGACCTTGTAGGGCTGGGCACATAAATATACCTTCACAGGTTTCACAAGGTCTCTGGTTGGTTGGGGCAAACCGTAGCGAGATTTCCCTGAAAGGACTCAGCTCCTGAACTTGCTTGACCAGCCAATCCTTTGTGGCTGCGTCAGCACAGCCTCCACCTTTCTTCCTGGAGGCTTCATAAGAGTCAGCTTTGGGGGTACCACCCTTGCCCTGCTTTTTCCCAGCATCCTAGTTCCGGGAGGAACTGGCTTTGCAGGGAGCAGAGTTAGGGTGCTTGGCAGCCCACACCAGCCTCACTTCTGGATAGCACCTTTTCACCTTTGGCTTTAGCATCCGCTATCCTCCATCTTTGCAACTAGCCCCTGGAAAGTCGTTTTTCGTTCCTTTCCGGTTTCTGCATGCTTGTCGTCATCGTCAGATTTTAGTAGACCTTCCTCCTCCATTTGGGTCAGATTGTCTACTTTGTTCTCACAAATACCGGGTATCTAAGTCAACCTCCCCAGTGACCCGATTAGAGAGGTAAGGGTTGCGTACGACTGGGTTACCCTTGGTTCCCAGAAGGCTCCGTTTAGACACTGAATATTAGGCCCCAAGTGCCACAAGACTCTTGGCACGGATCGCATTACACCTTAGTCTAGGGCCCCCCTCACTTGGTTCTGTAGGTGGACCAACACCCAGTGGCAGAAGGTAGCTCTCCGCAGCTAACAAGTGAGAGTTGGTGTTTAGGTTGTGGCCAATCTGCCGGCAAAATTTTCTCCCACTCACTAAACCCCCATACCTTCCTACTAGGAAGTGGCTTAGGAATTAGTAAAGTATGAGCATAGTGTGAGAATCGTATGTGGCAGTTAGATTAATGTATCTTCAATCCAAAAATACTATGAGAAGGGAAGGAAACAGGTCTATGACGTAGGAAATGGTGAAGGAAGTATAGTAAAGGTGAGCAGTGTTGAGAGTAGGAATGGATTAATGTATCTGCAATGCTAAAATGCTATGGGAAGAGTTGTGGTGCCACAGATTTTGAGAGGACATCCTGGAATAGAGGCAATGACGTTCCTATCAAGGTATTATGTTTGGTGGCCTAATCTGAATAAGGATGTTGAGTTGTATGTCCTTAGATGCCACCCTTGCCAGAGTAACCGCTCATTTGACACAGAAGTACCTCTATATCCTTGGAATGTGCCAAGTGACCCTTGGGAGCGAATTAATCTCGACTTCGCGGGCCCATTCGAAAACCGATTCTGATTAGTAGGAATCGATGCTTACTCAAAATGGGTCGAGATCGAAGTAATGGACCGTACGACAACTGCTGCTCTTGTAAATAGATTAAAGACATGGTTTTCGAGGTATGGCGTTCCTAAAAAAGTTGTATCCGATAATGGCACCCCCTTCACGTCCCATGAGTTTAAGACTTTTTGTAAGAACAATAACATATGTCATGTCACATCGGCACTGTATCATCCAAAAACCAATGGTTTAGTGGAGAGGATTATCAGAACCTTCAAGAGTCGATACAGTGCTTGCAAACAAGAAGGTCTCAGTTCATCACTTGCACTTTTACAAGTGTTGCTTGCTTATCGAAACACCCCCCAAAAGACCACAGGACAACCACCATCAGTCCTTTTCTATGGTAGAAGAATACCAACAGCTTTGGATAGGTGGAGGTGTAAGAGCAGAGAGAGATTAGAAAATCAAGTGTGGCGACAAAAGTACTACCACGACTTAAAATCTAAACAAAAGGAGTTTTCTGCCAAACAAGAAGTGTGGGTTCAAAATGAAACGAAGAAGGGCTGGAGACAAGGAACTGTACAACAAAGGAGAGCAAGAGAAGGTGCAACTGATCCACCTCAATGGAAAATGCAAATGTAACCTGAAAATGATGATGTACATAGTTTCGGAAACTCAGCCTAAATTGGGTGGGGAGAAATGTAGGATTATTGTTATCAGCTGAGTTATGAAGTTATGAATCATCTGCTATTTGGTTTGTTTACATTATTATTGTTTTTGTAAATAAATAGTTTTGATTGAGTTTACTTAAAATGAGTTTTAATAATTAATTATTCTATACTTTTGTAATTTGCTTGTTTATGGATATATTTTTATCAAACTTGGCCAACCAATATTTTTTTTTATTAGCCTCCCCGAAGCAGCAAACGTGTGTACTCGATAACCCTATGATGTTATTTAAATAAATATATAGACCCTATACAAAATTGACAAAACATTGAAATAAAATAGCAGCCCGAGTGGCTATAGCATCCCAACACAAATCACGTCATTTTCAGCTAGCAAGTGGGATGTTAGCATCCCGGACGCCAGCCTCCTAGTATAATCGTAGCCATACTGTAAATTACGGAGTAATGTTTTATTTATTAAGCAGCTTTGATTGAATATTTTTATATAGGTGAAAAAATATAGTTCCAAAAGTTCCATTCCAAATCTTGAGTTCTTTCCGTGCTCGGTACCACCTCACTCGTAACGACTATCCTGCTTCGAAATGGGTCACTTTCGGGACTAGTATAAAGTATACTTTTGCAAATTGATTAAATAGGATTGGTTTAATGTTTTAAATCATTGACATCAAAGGTAGCTATTATTATTATCACATTTGATTATCTGGTGAATATATAAAAAGAAGAAAACAGTCTCCTGAAGATAGCTACAAATGGACGACCACGAGGGACCCGACCACTAGGAAGACCCAAACTACGATGGGGAGACCAGGTGCGGAAAGACCTTCATCGCATGGGGACATCAATTGACCGAGCAGCAGACAGAAAACACTGGAGGCAACTTGTTGGCGAGGCCAAAAACCAACTTAGGTTTGAATGGCCAAGGAGGTAAGGTAAGGTAATATAAAAAGACCAAAGTAGAATGTATCCCCCCCAACTCATTTGTTAGTAGCATGCTCCAAAATAATAAATATATCATAATATTCCTGACTTAACTTCTCGCCTATTAAAGGTTATAATCTTCGATGATTGTTGATAATCTAAATATGTAATTGTTTAGTTTTGTAGCTAAGTGTACGCATAAAATGAATTAGTTAAATATTCACTTCTTTTTAGGGAACCCTGATTAGCCTCTTTAAATTTACATGTATTCCTTTATTATTTTATTAAAAGCCTTAATTAATAAGACTAAACATTAATTAGGCTGTGGTTTCCTAGACGTGAAATAGATATGGTATAATAATAAGATGTAATAGATAATGTGTAAATTACACATTATTGGGAAATTAAATTACCACCAACCTAACGAATGATAACGAATGATATGAAATGTAATACTAGACAATTTTAATTGTATGAAAAACGTACTTCCATAATATGTCATTAGAGCTTAGAAGGGACAGAGTCACTCAATTGTTCGTCGTTGTTGGAGAATTTTGCTTTCTGGACAACATTTACTTCCGAATCCATTGCACAAGACATGTCTAACACGCAGCGTAACTCAGATTTGAGTGCTCTGAAAGCAGTCGGTCAAATACGCAGCTATTGGTGTGCGCGTATTAGACGCGCGTGCATTAGATATGCAGCCTTGGAAACCGCGTACATGAAACTCCATAAGACAGGTGTGCTGCGTCTTAGATGTAAGCACATCTATTACACGTCTAGGAAACCACAGCCTAAGAACTGATGGTCTTATAATGTAACCTCAAATACCAGCCTCCAATTGTTTTCGAGTTAGCTCCAAGTCATTCTGTAATGCAGTTTCTCTTCGTCTTTGGTGTGTCCTCTCTACTTCATGCTCCGTGAACATATCTTTACACTTCCTCAGACTAGTCACTGTCAAGGACAACAGCCACTCAATGTCATCCCTTATTGCAGCAGTCCACGCGTTCATCACACCCAGTTGGCTCATTTCATATACTTCAGGCTTAATCTTCTCTCTGCATGAATGCATTTCTTTCATTTAGTTATTATTAGTTTTCTATCTTATGCTATCATTATTTATAAAATAAATGGACATTTTGTAACAACTTTGCATTGAAATCTCTAGTATCCAATAAATACTTTTCGTCCCATTTTGAGACTTATATGGGTTATCATAAAAAATGCAAGAATCTTTGCCCCATTCAGTACAGTTCAGCCGAAACTTTGTCTGTTCACGTGGATGGTTTGCTACTGGCCGCACTTAAGACATATGGGTGCCGGTTATTACCAGTCCTAGGAGTAGGGTTAAAGCCGGGTTTACACTATGTAGCAAAACCTGCTATATAACTTTTGCTATACAAAAAAGTCACAGACACTTTTAGTGATTCCGGTGCCCGCGTGCTATATGTCATATGTAGCACAACCTCATTGACATTCCGCATTGAAATGGCGTGCCAAAGAGATCTATTGTTCGCGGCAACTACCACGGTGATTTTAGGAAGTCAGAGGCGGAAGCGAAGGTTTTAGGTTCGACAACAGGAGGATTTAATCATCATTAGTGTTTCAAAATCTCTGACATGGTTACCTTTAAGATGGTCCCAGAGGGGCTAAGCACTGAAAGTTATCACGAAATTCATTATGTTATATAAACTTATTCCATGAAATTCTACATGTTTAGGGTGAGGCAATGAAAGCGCCCCAATTTATAAATAGTACAAATGCAATACTATTTACTCTATAACATATAAATAGCACATCAAAACACAGCTTATCTTATGCAATTTTAACTTACAAAGTCATTTTTCTTGAAAACAGAATCCTTCAAGTGACGTCCTTGTCCTACTAGACATTACTTTTTGGTCACGTGAAAAATTCCATTGAATACTTGTTCCAGCATTCCTTCAGGAATCACTTTAGTTTCTTGGACACTTCTCAGCTTCGATTCAAGCAAATCTGTGGGCTTATGCTTATTTCTGTGAGTTCCTAGGTGGAACATGATGTTGGTGAAATAGCAGAGTTGAGCTGCAGCGGTTAATTACCCTGATTATATAAAATGATTTAGACAGTTAGTTAACATGAAATTAATTTAATTGGGAATAAGTTAGAATGCAACAACTGAATGCAAACCGGTCAAACTATAAACAAACTCATAGAAATATAGAAATATAACACTAACCATATGTTATAACAAATTAGGCAGGCAAGATGAATATGTAAGTTAGACATTACAACATCCTCCCATCTTGCATATTCCTTGCTTCTTGATACATTTCATGAGCTTGTATTTGTCTTGTGTTTTCGTCTGAAACTTTTCACTCGTTTTCTTTGAACTTTTTCTTAAGAGCTTCCTTCCTTTTTCACAGTTTAATGCTTGTTGATCAAGACAATCTTCTTGTTTTTCCTATCCCCGGTTATTCTTAATCCCAGAATAAATTTTTGCTGTCCCCATATCTTTAATTTTGAATTCTTTTATTAGTCGTGTCTTAAGGATTTCTTTGAGATGTTTATCATTGTGAAAAACTACTAAATTGTCCTCCCAGGCTGTAACGATTAACATCCTCCCATTTTTCACCATGTAATAAACACTGGAATCAAAGATTGACTGAGTCATTCCTACTCTAATCAAACATCAGTGTAGTTTCTGGTTCCACTTACGAGAGGCTTTTTCATGTTTAGGTTGATTCATGCATATTTCTTCTGTGGGTTCTTCTTGAGGAAATGCAGAGGAGACAGCATCCATTCGGTCTATTTCTAGGTCCCTTTCAGCAGCTAATGCCATTAAATGGCGTACAGAGCTGTAACGGTTGAGTTGAGGTTTAGCACAATCATCATCACTTGCATCATAAAAATTCATATAATCCTCAAGAGATTTGGGAGGTTGACGGACTCTCTGAGGTCGATCACTGGATACTGGCAGCGGATTTTCTCCAAGTTCAGAACTTTCATTGACTTCAAAGTCAGAATCTGCTGAGTCATATTCAGATTCTTCAGGTGCTGCTACAGGAAAATCTAAATCTTCTGGAGGAATGTAAAACATGTAATCCTCTTGTTCCCGGTCATTTTTCAGCATAATAATACTACCTTTTTCACATTCAGAAAATGTCTTGTCTCTTGAAATTAGTACTGTTTTTGTCCTCGGATTGTGGAGACAGTAGCCTTTTGTTGTAGAGCAATAACCTACTAAAATACACGGCATCGAACTTGCATCTAGTTTCTTACGATTTGGTGCTGGAACATGTGCATAAGCTTTGCAACCAAATGTCTTCACGTGAGAGAGGGTTGGTTTTTGGCCTGACCACAATTCTTCAGGAGTCGAAGAAATTGTCCTACTCGGTGAGCGATTTAACAGGTAAGTAACAGTGTTAACTGCTTTAGCCCAAAAACATTTAGGCAGCTCGGAGTCAAGGAATAAACATTGGGCACGATCCATTAGTGTGCGGTTCAATCGCTCAGCTTTACCATTTTGTTGTGGCATATAACTGCAGCTGGTCTGATGCACAATACCTGTTTTCTCATAGAACTCAGAAAACTTCTTGCTACAATACTCACCACCTCCATCTGTTCTCAGAGTTTTGATTTTCTTCCCAGTTTGATTTTCAACCAGATGTTTAAAAGATTTGAACATTTCTAAAACTTGATCCTTTGTCTTCAAGAAATAAACAAATGTTTTATGGCTAAAATCATCTAGGAAAGTAAGAATGTACTTAGAACCAGCAAGAGAATTTACTTCCATCGGTCCAACCAAGTCAGAGTGTACCAATTCTAGCAGTTCACTACTTTTACTGCTACTTGGTTGGAAAGGTAGTCGGTGGCTTTTGCCAAGTACACATGATTCACAAGGATTGACAGGCTTTTTATCAGATAGATTGATTCCATGCACCAAGCCATTTGACAATTTGTCAGATCATCATAGTTGAGGTGAGTCATACGTTTATGCCAGAGAATTTGATCATTGCATTTTGCAGTCATGGCTGTGCCTGAAGAGGGTTGAACATCTAACTTAAACAAGTTGTTGACCTTGGAAGCTGTGGCAATTACTTCATTGTCACTATTGAAAATCTGAGCTCCTTCGTTGTCAAAAATCACAGTGTTCCCTTTGCTCACAATTTGACTGGCAGACAGTAAATTTACATTTAACTGAGGAACATAATATAATATACATTTTGAACTTTAACATCTGATAAAGTACCTGAAATATTTACAGAAAGGTTTGTATCTCCAATTATGTCAGTTACCATAGTGGAATTATTAGCGGTGGTAATAATCAATTGTGGAGATTTTATTTTATTTTCAAGTATCAGACTGTCAACACATAAATGAGCACTAGCTCCTGAATCTAGATACCAATCACTACTTACACCTGTTCGCATTGAGAAGGCAGCAAAGAGTGAACTGTATCCTTCATTTCTGGTGCCTTAATTTTTCATTTCATATTTCATTTTGTTCCTGGATTTGTCACAGTTCCTTGATATGTGACCATAACCATTGCATTGGAAACATTGAAGACCCTTGTAACCTTTGCTATCTTGACGTTTCTTGTCTTCAGTGGGTTTCTTGTGGCTTGAAGTGTTGTGCCTGTTACTGTTCTGAAAACTTGGTCTTGAAATTTTTCCTCGACCATAACCGTACATCGCAATGCATTTGGAACATTCATTTTCCACGGATACATCTTGAAGTATATATAATTTAGTTTTGATTGAATCAGCCGCAATCTTGACCCCAGAACTTTCAATACCCATGATCATTGGTTGGAATTGATCCGGTAGTCCAGCAAGTAAAATTGTTCCTACCCACTCATCATCCACTTTCAGACCAATGTTGGTTAGCTTGTGAAAGTGGACCGTTGATACAATTTGATTTACATAATCTTCTATGGATTTACAATTTTCTAGCCTTGTAGTTGTTAACAATCGCAGCAAACCAACTCTTCGGGTCAAACCCCTGTCAGAAAATGCCTTTTCTAAATTGTCCCAGCCTTCCCTGGCTGTTTCTGCTGATTGGACATGGACATAATTAACCGAATCAATTAGCAATATGATTTTGGATTTACATTTTGTCACTTTCTTTCTATCTTCTTCAGTTCCCAAAATACAGTTCCAGTGCTCACAATCTTCCAAATATGCTTGAACGGCAACTTTCCATGTATCATAATTTTCACGGCCTTTCAATTTTTCTATTGAAGGAGGTTGATACATTTTCAAAGTTGGTGAACTTGGACAAAATAATCAGAGAAATTAAACATCAGTTAACAGGAGGCCCATAACCTGATGTTGGTGAAATAACAGAGTTGAGCTGCAGCGGTTAGTTACCCTGATTATATAAAATGATTTAGACAGTTAGTTAACATGAAACTAATTTAATTGGGAATAAGTTAGAATGCAACAACTGAATGTAAACAGGTCAAACTATAAACAAACTCATAACAATATAGAAATACAACATTAACCATATGTTATAACAAATTAGGCAGGCAAGAAGAATATGTAAGTAAGACATTACAACAGAACATAGGGCCTCGACAAAATCCCGCCACCCGTCTTGATGCTCAGCAAGTGTCTTGGCCGGCCTGTCTCCACGTCATCTGTCTTCTTGCTAGGTCTCTTTCTATGGTTCTCCTCCATGTTGTTTTTGGTCTGCCCTGCTTTCTGTTTCCCTGCGGATTCCAGTCTGCCTGTTTTGATATACAGCTCTGCGGCCTTATCAATGTATGGCCTTCCATCTCCACCTTCTTCTGGTGATAATCTTTTTGATTGGTTCTTGCTTAGTTATCATCCAAAGATCTTTGTTTCTTATCACATTAGGCCACCAGATTTTCAAAATGTACCGCAGGCACCTATTGACATATGTTTGTAGGCTTTGCACTGCTGTGTTGTTAATCTTCCAGGTCTCACAGAAATATAGCAAGACAGACATGACATTGGAGTTGAAAAGTCTTAATTTTGTCTTTCGCAGAATCTGCCTTGATGTCCACACGGGGCGTAGTTGGGCAAACGCTCCCTTGGCCTTCCTAATTCTGCTTTTGATATCTAGGTCTGTACCTCCATCCAGTCCTACCATACTACCAAGGTAACAAAACTCAGTTACACTCTCAATGTCTTTGTTGTGTAGCTGCAAGACTTGATTGTTACGTGTATTTATACACATTTCCATAGTCTTCCTTCCGTTTATTTTAAGCCCGACATCTGAAGCTTCTACATGGAGATCATTTAGTTTCATTTTAATGTCACGGAAGCTTTCTACAAGGAGACATAAGTCGTCTGCAAAATCCAGTTCTTCTATGTATTGCCATACCCCCCAGCAACGTTTCTATATGGGCCATGCAACCCCCACCTCGGTTTCTATTTGTTGCCTTCCGAAGCATGCAATCAAGCGTCATTATAAACAATATTGGCGACAAGAGGCACCCCTGCTTTACTCCAGACTCCACTGCGATTGGTTCTGAGAGGCTCCCAGCGTGTTCCACCTGGCAAATGTATCCATCATACATATTTTGTGTGAGCCTAATGATTTTGTGAGGAATTCCAAAAGCTTCCATTGCAGCCCACATCTTCCTCCTACTAACAGAATCGAAGGCAGACCCCAAGTCGCCAGCAACGAGAGACTGTCTGTCCCGTGCCTCCCTTGGTAGCTAGTCGGGAAAGGTTTCGTCGTGCAAATTAAATTCATCTCGCGGTGTTGGTCGGACAATCTTTATTTTCTAAAATCGTTTAGCCTATATCCCGAAGGGATATAATTGCAACGCGAGTGGAAAATAGAATCAGTTTTGTTTGTCAAACAAGTGTTAAAAAAGTTCGTTTTTACCGGCCAACGCAATCCGCCATTTTGAAATATCACGTTCGTCACACGAGTTCAAATCGATCGCGTTTTTTATCGTAAAACCGGCTAGTTACAATTCCTCATCCCTATCCCTTTATTTGTGTCAGTGTTTTTTGTGGACGTCCGAAATTGTAAGTAATTTTTTATTATTTATTGTTATATATTAAAGTTCAGTGAGTCGCACATGGTAAATTTTCCTGTTATATTTTGTTAGTACATGTTAAATAAGCACATGTTTCCAGGTTCGAGCTCAATTTGCTGATCTTTATATCCATTTATAGCGTAACAATCTGTATTATTTATTAAGCTGTGATGATCCAATAGTATTAAGAATAAATAGATGAAAATGTTTTTGTAGGGTAATTCAGAGTTACTTCATAAGATTTTTATAGTATTGGTATTTGTCACAGAGTCGTTATCGAATTTCATTGTTGAGTATTAAGGTACAATACATTTAAGAGTGCCACAGTCAGTATTTAATTTGGGGGAAATAAATTAATATCAAAGGAGGGAGCAGGTAGCTGGTTCGACTAGATACGGAGGTATTATCGGAGGTTGTGTCAGTTTGCATATAGATGAACCGCCAAAGTACCAAATTAGCCATAAAATAATAAGCAACATTCTAATAAATACTACTACGATTAAGCACAATATTGTTTAATCAGTTGGACTGCGAGACTCGACCTTCGTTTTTGAATCGTTGGCCAACGAACAGGATTTGCTTGGTACTGGTCATCTCAACTTTAAATTAAATACCACTCTTCCGTTGACACTTTCGCGATCAGTGTGCAACCGCACCGTATCTTCCCCTTTGATAAATCCATTCAACATTCTCAAACAAATGACTTCAAATTGATTGTGTCACTCAAGGTCATTCAGTATTACATAAACACAACCAGCAACTGTTAATTGAAATCAATTGTATTTTGTAAATTCTGTAAAATAAATCAAATTGTTACTCACTTTTTAGTTATCAATAACCTTTGGTAATTCATTATTAGCAACATTATTTAATTAGCAAATAAAGGTAATTCAGTAAATCATAGGCCACTACAAAAGATTCACCTTTTAAGTGCAACACTAAATACTAGTGTGGTAGTGAGCAGATTAAATTCAGTGTAGAATTAAGATTGGTTAATATTATTTACATTAAAGGTATTGCATTCTGGAAGAACTTCAAACAGTACCAAGGACGTCCCATAAGGATCTCTGGGGAGTATTTTTATTTTACAGGGCCCACTCAAATATTTTTTAACACCAAGCTTCCACTGCCAAAGCTCTGTTTTATATTATTGCTTTCCAAGTTCTTCCAACCTAGGGGCAACCAAGATTTGTAAAGAATCCACTTTGAGAGCATTGCAAGGAGTAAATATATTTAAATACAATATTTAAATATATAAGTCTATATTTTTTATTTTTCTTTACAAATAAATATTTTTATTTTTTTTACATAAGGGTTCTATAAAGGAGCTTAACATGTCTGGATTTGCCTTGAGAATATTAGGGGGGGATATTGTCAATTCCTGGTGCTTTCCAGTTTTTCATTCGTCTCAATGCTTCTTTTATTTCTTCTTTAGTAGAGGGGTAACATCTATGTTTATATTACTTTCTCTGCCAATAACAGGTTCCTACGATTCTCAGGTTCTCCCTCCATATCACTATTATTATTTAAAACTGCTGCTAAGTGCTCCTTCCATCTTTCTAGCTGTTGCTGGCTTTCCGTAACAAGATTCCCTTGTCTATTCTTTATAGGCCTTACAGAGTGGAAGTTATTTTCCCCCAGCTTCTTTGCAATGTCATAGAGGCCCTTGCTGTCACCTACATTGGCTGCATCTTGCGCTAGCGTTGCAAGCTCTTCTGCAAACGATCTCACCTTTCTTTTTACTTGGCGATTTGCCTCAGATTATTCTGCTGCGGCCAACTGCTTTTGGGCTCTAGTCCTGGCAATTTTCAACTTTGCCTTCTTTTCTCTTCTAGTTTTTATTTTGTTCCATGTGTCATCAGAGATCCACTCCTTCCGGCCATGTTGCTGATACCCAACTACTTCCTCACTAGCTCCTACCACCACCTGTTTGAAGCATTGCCAATGATCTTCAACACTACATTCTTCCAAATCCGCTAAGGCCTCAAATCTATTTTGTAGGTTGATAGAAAAGAGTTCCTTCGCCCTTTCATTTCTGAGCTTACCTACAGCAAACTTTTTCTTCTTTCCATCACCAGCCTTCTTGTTAGCTGCCATTTTAATGCGTACCGTTGCAATCATAAGATGATGATCCGTTCCAGCGTCAGCTCCACAGTTGTTTCTGACATCCAAGAGAGATGTTCTCCATCTTTGACTTATAGCAAAATGGTCTATTTGATTTTCTGTTTGTTGATCTGGGGAAACCCAGGTCACCTTGTGGCACAATCTTTGAGGGAAAAGGGAACCTCTAATTACTAACTCAAAATTTCCGCAGGTTTCTGTGGAAATCTGTGGGGCGACTTCGAAAAACGTTTAACTTCAAGAAGCTTATCGGAATAACCCCTAGGCCTAAATAAAAAAACCCCAACATAAAACTTTCAACAACGAAAGCTTCCTAGCAACATTTTCAGCTTCCTCTTTGGACTTTGAGTTACTGCGACTCTCACTCTTTTAACATTTGCTGGAGTAAAAAGAGTTTTACGTAACCCACAAATTATTTTTAGGGTTTAAGCTGTTATCATAAATAATGTAACTTTACCCAGTTCCCTATCCTTTACCGATCTGGATCAGCACCATATTGACCAAGTATGGAATGTGGTCCAAACAATCTCTGGGTATTTGCACAAAAATCACTATTTTAAAAATAGGTTTCCACATCAAAATATCAGAATTATAAGCACAGCAGTTCGTTCATTGTTGCTTTACTTATAGTGTGACAACGAAAGTAAATTGGAGTGCTCTCACTGCCTCACCCTGTATATACCAATTTCGTGGCCATCGGTCCAGCAGTGAGTTTATCACTGCCAAATATACATACAAACATCCTCTTTTATACTGATAGATGTAAACGGAGGGTGTTTTTGGGCTCTGGGGACCTCAAAACAAATCGGTTTTGGGTCTAGGTCCTACCATGAGACCTATCGTAATAGCAATAATAGCTTATTCCCTAAATGGGAAATTCGCTAAAAAAATCTTTACATAATGTTTATTTTCAAATTAATGAACAGATGAGAAAACACAAGCAACCACCTCACATACAAACATAGGAACTCATAGTTGGCTGTGACACTCCCTACCCTCCCCAACCCTGTGTAAATTCTGTGGAATAACCTAAGTTCTGTACATTCAAACAGATCACCACTTCTTATCCACATAGGTATACAGTATATAACTTATCAAGTTATTGTATGATTAACGTACCTATTTAGTAAATTTATTTTTAAATATATAAAAAATAGTTTTATATAAGTTCCAACATGATTTAAAGAATACTTTAGTACTTACGTAGGATTTCTCTACAAACCTTGCTTTTGAAACATGAGTTTCTTTTATATTATGTTTCTTTTGCAATTCAAGTATCAAGTGAACCAAGGACTTGATTAATCCTGTTGACAGCCAGCAACTTTCACAGTAAACCAGAGAGCAAGTTTCTGTCTGAGAGCTTTTGTATGACACCGAAACTATTTCAGAGTCTGTGGAATCACCAGTTGGGAAGACCTGCAATAGTTTAATCAGTGGATTTTGGTTGTAGTTGGGTAACTCATAAGGACATAATACTATTGAGATGAAGGCTATTTTATTGAAACATGTACAGTTATTCTTGATTGAGGATTTTGACTCTTTCTACATGTAGGACATTGCTACAGTCTGCCTGGTTTCAGCAGTTTTAAGATAAAATCGAGGTTAACCCACCACAGCATACTACACACACTCTAGAAAGTTATTAGTCCTCTGCGGTTTGAAATACAGCATTTTTTTCGACACTAATAATTTCTTTAAAAAGAGTATTTTTTTGTAGCATGAATTGCACTACAGTAGAACCCATCATATCCGACCTTGGAATAACCCACCCTTTGGGATATCCGACCTAGTGTCTGAACGTCTACTTGTTTCATGTCTGGGGCAGAGCGCGATTGGTTAACCGAAAGGTCAATCGCGGTTGTTGCCGCCGTTAGTTATGCTCACGGGTGTTGCCAGGGTCGCGGGAGACGGTTACCGATGTCACGGTGACTGCAGGTTAGGCTAGGCGCACTTGAGCGATTATTTTGAGGCGACTATTTCATCGGCCGACCTGTGCATCATGTATTTGAATGGAAGCGCGCACACAGGCGATCGAGAATTGCACCGATTTTAAAATCTGGGTTTTGCCACAGATTTGTAGGCGAGGCAATTGTCGCCCGAAAATCTGTAACGTACAGATTGTTATCAGTCCGCACACACGGTCGACTAAAAAATCGGCCAGTCGCTTATTGTTCTCCACAGGAGTCAGTGAACTTCAGTACTTCAGTCTGAGTTGTGTTGTTTTCTTTGCTAAAAAAATGCCACAGCTGTTATAATAAAAACTGAAACTTTCAACAAACATTCTTAAAGAACTTTTTACTGTCATCTTGTAAAGTGTATAGTTTATAAAACTGTTGATTTAAAAGTCTCTGACTTACTATCGGATGAACCCAATATTTAAGTTGTCTTCTTTTTTTCTTTGGTCTAATTAGAAGAGCACAAACATAGGTAAATTCAACAAAGTCCATTTTAGTATAGCTTAAACCCATTAAAAAAAATCCATTTCTCGACTAAAAAATCGCCACGTGTGCGCCTAGACATAAATCAAGGGCGATTTATTTTTGGCCAATATTTTTATTGGCCGATCGAAAAATCGACCGTGTGCGCCAGGCCTTATACTCCTCCCAATATCAGACCTTTTAGCCTTTCCAACCATGTAACAGTCCCGTTATGGTTGGATATGAAGGGTTCTATTGTTCTTCTGTAGAAGAGTACCGTATAGTATGTAATTCTCTTAAAATTTTACACCACAAATTTTCATCCATGATGTTGCTGTTGGCAACAGAGGATATGAAAAGCTGTTGCAATATTTGGACAGGATATGTAGGTAGTATAACAGCTAGTAGCTCAGCCTAGAGGTTGGACGGTTATCTTAAACCAAAATTTTCTAAACATGCTAAAGATCTGTTATTGAAAGGGTGAAAATTACCAGAACAAAGACAAGTCCCAGATCAAATAATGTTAATTAAAAAAAAATTGAGTAAATATATTGTTGAGGTGAAAATATAACAACAACCAATATAAAATTGAACAGTAAAATTAATTTAAATCTATTAAACATACAAATGTTAGTAAACTATTTTGAATAAATAGAAAACGTTTTGAAACTGTAAAAAAGTGCTTGCTTACAATATAAATATAATTCAAGAGTCAAAAGAGATTATTATTAGTTTGAGCATACAAATATAACAGTGCATACGACCTTGTCAAAAAAAATATTAAAATAATAAAAACATATCACAAATTTTGAAATATAAATTACAATAACAAAGCTACAATAGTAGGATTTCATCATTAGGGCCTAAAGTGACTCTTTTCGACTCGAGGTCAAGTTTTACGATCGAGGCGAAGACGGGGTCGGAAAATGAGCGAGGGTTGAAAAGACACTTTTTGCCTGTGTGATGAACTATATTTTTCGTCATATTGCACCATTATTTGAAGAATCTGTGTTACAAAACTAAATAGTTTTCATTTAAAGTAACCTCAAAAAACTACTTCTAACTTGTTTTCAATTTAATTTGATAATGGAAACAAAAGCAGCTGTTTAGTAAGTGATTCAATCATTTTGTCGATTATGTTAGTGTACATTATACACTATCGATATGTTAAACTATTTACAATAAGGCAACAATAAACTGCAATCGATTAAACAATCCATGCATACTTTCGTTACATGCGATTTTTTTACAATTGAAATTTACAACTTTGTTGACATCAGCTGATTTTTACTCCCTAGGGGCTAAATAGATGTGTACTCCCTAGAGAGTAAAAATGCCACCTTAAATCCGCAACGCATGTATTAAAAACGGCTTTATGGTGTTTTTTTGTTGCAGTATGACGAAAAAGTATAAACAACATCACAGATGTTAAAAACTTTCATAATACTCCATAAGAGTTGGCAGAAGTAAATAATTTTGCATTGTTGTTGACCGTTCGTTAGATGCCAGGCTAAACAGTGATGGCCTAGCCCCGATCAGCAAAAGCATGCGTTCACGTTGAAGCATATTAATCATGCACCGTAAGCTTGATTACCGAGCAGAAAATTTTATGTGATTCTTAAATATATTTTCCGTGTGAATTGCTTTTTGGATTTTAAAACTTTTGTTTTAGAGGTTGAAAAAAATCACAGTTTAAATCAATATATTTATATAGTTTGACAAAATAATAACAATTAAAATTAAAAAGTAGATAGCAAATCTCATCCGTGGTTTCAATGGCTTTAAAATGAGATATTTTGCAAGTTTTTATCTTAATAAACAATGCTGTAATATGCTTCAATCCTTAACATTGGCGTTATAGGCAGAAAATCCAAGATGGCCGGCGGTACTGCCGACTCTTCTTAATACATTACTTGGAAGCACAAATACTTGAACAGAACCAGTATGGATCATAAACATAAACAAATGTCATAGATGGCCCGAATCCTAATAGCACTAAGCAAAGTTAAATAGGTAATGTTTATTTTCGGGACAGAAACAATTTTTGTTTGTATTTATGATCCATCGGTTCTGTTCAAGTACTTGTGCTTGGAAGGAATGTTGACTAGAAGAAGGCGAATGGCTTTTTTTTAACTTGCAAAAAGCAATCATCTTATATCTAAGGGCCAATGGTTAAGAAGTCTTACACCTACACATGGATGGCTTCTCAAAGTTTTATCTTAACTATAGCCTGATCAATATGATTCATAATAAAACAAATTTAGTATACAAATTTTCAAGTCTGATATATATAAGGCATCAAAAGAACAACCACATCATATTTTGAACGAAAAACAGTCCTTCGAGTCTAATATAATTTACAACACAGCCATTCTGATATCTGATTACCAAACCAAGGAAAGAAAAGATAAGGATAGAACAGGGGTAGGGGTCAACGCTGCCGACACGTGACAGTCGCGACTTATCCATCACCGGCGCCGCATCACGTTTCGCAGTCGTTCTTTAATTAATGTTTAAATGTTTCGTGCGTGTTTTCGTGTGTGTAAATGTCAACATGTTTTTTGTGTAACCATGACGAACTCAACACCGAGGGATGTTTTATAAAGAAGCTGGCGTTCAACAAACCTGAAGATGTGCCAGTGATAGGCATGAAACAGCTCTAGTTTCATAAAACTACCGAGGATCGATGACAGAAGCCAGGTAATTTAAATCATCTAGTCTGGATTAGTGATGGACCATCATATGTTTTTTACATTTTACATATAGTCCAGGAATTTTAGGGATTCAAATGCCATTCGACCTAACAAATTCGAACTAAGTGGAAACTTTGCACAGCTGTTAAGTAAGCCATGTTCTTGAAAATGTCAAAAGTCCCCGGAAATCCCTGCTGTGCTTCAGCCGCCATCTTGGAAAATGGCGGCCAATTTTCACTTTTTTAACAATATTTCCCAAACTATTGGTATTAGAGAATTTTTGTAAATACAAAAGTTAAAGAACACCTAAAAATACACATTTTTTATATTACAAGGTTTGCTCTATCTCTAACGGCTATTGAGAGAAATAATAAAAATAGTTTTAAATTTAAAATTCCCATGTTATTCTGATGAAGGAAAAGAAAATTGTTGCAGTTTGCTTATTTATGGATATATTTTTATCAAACTTGGCAAACTTATTTATTTTATACTAAGCTAATGATATTTAACATAATTACACACTTTATAACCCTTCCAATAGCAGTAAACGTAGTACTTGTTAAATTTAAAGTTATTTAAATAGGGATTCTATCTTTCATTTTTAGGTATTATTTTAATAAAAATCCAGGCAGGCAAATGGAAATTCATTTTTAGACACGATTGTTAATTTTTCCTTATTAGTATTAAAGAGAAATGGAAAATGGCGGCCGATTTTTTTTAATGACTCCTTAATTCTCAACATTATCAAAAATTACCAAGAGCTAAATAATATTCGCTACTGAAAACTGAACAATTGATCTATTTACATTTTATTTACTTGACAAACAGTAAGAAAAATAAACATTTTTCAAATATTTTGGATATCCGCGAATATTATTTAGCTATATTATTTATATATAATAATAATATATAATATTATTTAGGTAATTTTTGATAATGTTGATAATTAAGGAGTCATTAAAAAAAATTGGCCGCCATTTTCCATTTCTCTTTAATACTAATAAGGAAAAATTAACAATCGTGTCTAAAAATGAACTTCCATTTGCCTGCCTGGATTTTTATTAAAATAATACCTAAAAATGAAAGATAGAATCCCTATTTTAAATAACTTTAAATTTAACAAGTACTACGTTTACTGCTATTGGAAGGGTTATAAAGTGTGTAATTATGTTAAATATCATTAGCTTAGTATAAAATAAATAAGTTTGCCAAGTTTGATAAAAATATATCCATAAATAAGCAAACTGCAACAATTTTCTTTTCCTTCATAAGAATAACATGGGAATTTTAAATTTGAAACTATTTT